GGTGGTGCTTGGGGACATGGTTTAGTGGTGGCCTTGGCAGCACTGGGTTAACGGTTGGACTCTATGATCTTTTGGGTCTTTTCCAACCTTAACAATTCCATGATTCTATGATTCAGAAGGTAGCTGGAAGTCTCCGCATTCCTTAGTCCAGACTGGTCAAAGCAAAACTCCGACTACTGCCTCCCCCTGCTTGACCTCTTAAGGGCATTTTCCAAACTCCTCCAAGGCTGCGTGAGACTGCTTTCCGTGCCAAACTGCTGGCAAAGCGCTGTAAACAACGCCCGCTGGGCAGACTGCCACCGCTACAGCTTCGACAGTCAGCGACCCAGCTGCTGAGCACTCAGCTGCAGCAGCAGCCTTCCCTGCCAGCCCCAGCACGTTTAGAAGAATACTAAAATGCGTGCGGAGGGCACGGAGGAACAACGATAACATGTTAGGGTGCTGCAGGAGTACATCTGAACACGCATCCACAACACAGGCAACGCAACGAGGCGCTCGCGATACTTGGGAGCTGCATCGCTTGTAGTTTGAGAGCTCTCAGCAAGAAAAGATGGCTGGTGATGGGAAAAGTGGCATCCAGACTGGTTTGTGGGGGGTGCTGGCTGAGCTCCTGTGAGTTGAACAGCTTCATGCTGTTGAGAGCATCCTCCTGGAAAGAGTCCTCGGTCTTGGCAGCCTTAGCGTTTTTTACCCCATCAACTCCATCCAAAATCATAGAATCATAGAATCGTTAAGGTTGGAAAGGACCCTTAAGATCATCAAGTCCAACCGTTAACCCAGCGCTGCCAAGCCCACCACTAAACCATGTCCTCGAGCACCACGTCTACCCTTCTTTTAAATCCCTCCAGGGATGGGGACTCAGCCCCTGCCCTGAAATGCAATTCAGTGCTGCCCTCCCACGTTAAGTTCGTGTCGCGGTACAAGCAGATGACTGGCACGTTGCTGCCTTTTTGATCATTCTCCACTCTTCTATCTTGATATGGCACCTCCTGCCATGATCTTCTGCAGGTATTGTCTCATTTTCACAAGCGTGTGGGGTTTTGTGGCTGGGCATGAGGTCTCTCTGGGCTTTTACCACTAACCAAAGGGGGAAGAGTGCTGCGATTTTCAGAGACTTCCCACTTAATAGAGCAACCGATCAGGACCGCAATGCAATCACTCCGGTGTAAACCACCCTCTGGCAAAGGGGATATACTCCCTTACAGGGAAAGCTTACCTGGGCCGCTGGGAATCTTCCACGGGAGCTGGCTTTGAGAGCTCTGCATCAATATTTGCTGTATCCTGGTTCCTTGCTCCCTCTTTCACATCCAGATCCTTGGTGGAAATTATTACCTGACTTTTTGATGGTAAAAAACCATCCAGATCTTTCCCAGAAAGAGGGCTCCCGATTTCTTCCTTCCTGACAGGGGGAAAAGATGAACCAAAGTCATTTCTTCATAAGAGGAAACTGGAACCAAAACACGCTGCAGGTGCTAGCTTTGCTGATTCAAAAACTAGCAGTCTGACGCTGCAGTGAAGTATCTCCTGACAAGGAACAGGCTCAGCCTTGTTCCCACAAATCCTTCCTTCCGAGAGCAGAGGGACTGCCTTGTGTAGCAAATACTGCGGAACACAGCCCAGGCTGGACTAGCGTTCTTGAGACGGATCACAGGGACAACAGGCCCACCCCGCCAGACAGGATAACCCTCTCTACCTTTGACGAACCTACAAACCGAGTCCCCTAGGGTTTGATCTAACCCCACATCTAAATCAAGCCCAGCTTCTCTCTCAGCTCACCTCCACAAACAGCACCAGCCTTGTCTGCAGGGGATAGTGGGACTTGAAAGAGATACAGGGAAGTGCTTGCCAAATCTCCTTCCATCTCCCTAAAAAAAGAACTGCACAGAGGAGTCCCCCGTGTCCTGCGGACACCAAAGCCTTGGTGGTTCCTCTCCTCTCTAACACGAGGACTTGGGGGAAATGTCAGGGAGGAACCAAGCAGATGCTCTCGGCCACAAAAGTAGTTGTAGAAACTGCCAGTGCCAGGACCTCACTTCTATAAATTGAAGGATCTTTCTCTGCTCGGTACTGATGGCTGGTTCCCCCTTCCCTCTCAAAATCTCTTCTCCTTATCTGCCTCTCCGTCCACCATCCCTTCCTCCCTTTCCGTTTAGCAGATCTCCTTCTACCTAACACTCTAAAGAAAAACTGCAGGTTTAACATGTCTTCTGAGGCCATCACAGGACTGTTCCCCTGCCCGTGTGTTCAACTCTCCACCTCTTGTCACGGGCTATCCCTGGCTTCGCTGGCTGCAAGCTCTCCAGCTCAAAGCCTGTCCACGCTCTGCGTCCACAGCTCACGTCCTGCACAGCGCTCCGTGGTCTTGGTTCCTCCGTTCATCCGAACACACAGATGAACCGTTTGCAGTCAATCTTCCCCATAATAGAGGTCTACCCTACCACAGGCTGTGCCTGCCGGCCACACGCATCCCCCTCACATCCTCCTGATGGTGTGGCTGGTGGCCATAAGGACACCACAAACCCTTACAGCACTATGCTGGAATGTCATCCTTGAGGAACCACAAAACTTCCACACACCCGTTAAGCCGGCTTCATCTCTGCCTTCCTCCGTGGGCTGCCTATCACACCTCGACCAGATCCAGTCACTGCGATGACGCATTATCAGAGAAAAGGGAGAGCTGCCTGGCTACTAAACTCACTTGAGCTGCTCGTTGCTTTTCCTGGATTTCTTCTTCCCACCACGTCCGGATGAAAAAGGAGTAGTTCTAGTCCCAAAATCCCGTCCATCCTCTTCCTGCACCAAATGGCGATCCACATCAACCACACCTGCCTGGAAACAGGAAGAAATAAAGCATGGGCCAGGAGGCATTAGATCTAGACCACAAAAGCTGTACAGCCCTTGCCCAGCAGCTATTCCATCCTGTTGTACAATCTAATCCAGAAATCTGTATTCACTAGAGAGTATTTCAGAGAAACACATCTATAAGAATGAAGTGTAAACTAAAATTTTTTTTGCCAGGTCCTGCACTGGGGGCACAGCAACCCCAGGCACCGCTGCAGGCGTGGGGAGGAGCGGCTGGGAGCTGCCCGGCGG